CGTCAGTCCCTTGACCCATTCCCTCAGTCCCTTGACCCATTCCCTAAATCGCTTGACCCATTCCCTCAGTCCCTTGTCCCATTCCCTCAGTCCCTTGACCCATTCCCTCAGTCCCTTGACCCATTCCCTCAGTCCCTTGACCCATTCCCTCAGTCCCTTGACCCATTCCCTCAGTCCCCTGACCCATTCCCTCAGTCCCCTGACCTATTCCCTCAGTCCCCTGACCCATTTCCTCAGTCCCCTGAGACATTCCCTCAGTCCCTTGACCCATTCCCTGAGTCCCTTGACCCATTCCCTGAGTCCCTTGACCCATTCCCTGAGTCCCTTGACCTATTCCCTCAGTCCCTTGACCCATTCCCTCAGTCCCTTGACCCATTCCCTCAGTCCCTTGACCCATTCCCTTAGTCCCTTGACCCATTCCCTTAGTCCCTTGACCCATTCCCTTAGTCCCTTGACCCATTCCCTTAGTCCCTTGACCCATTCGGTCTGTCCCTTGACCCCTTCCCTCAGTCCCTTGACCCATTCCCTCAGTCCCTTGACCCATTCCCTCAGCCCCTTGACCCATTCCCTCAGTCCCTTGACCCATTCCCTCTGCCCCTTGACCCATTCCCTCTGTCCCTTGACCCATTCCCTCAGTCCCTTGACCCATTCCCTCAGTCCCAGACCCATTCCCTCAGTCCCTTGACCCATTCCCGCAACTGGACGCGTCTGGATGCAACTGGACGCGTCTGGACGCAACTGGACGCGTCTGGACGCAACTGGACGCGTCTGGACGCAACTGGACGCGTCTGGACGCAACTGGACGCGTCTGGACGCAACTGGACGCGTATGGACGCAACTGGACGCGTCTGGACGCAGCTGGACGCGTCTGGACGCAACTGGACGCGTCTGGACGCAACTGGACGCGTCTGGACGCAGCTGGACGCGTCTGGACGCAGCTGGACGCGTCTGGACGCAACTGGACGCGTCTGGACGCAACTGGACGCGTCTGGACGCAACTGGACGCGTCTGGACGCAACTGGACGCGTCTGGACGCAACTGGACGCGTCTGGACGCAACTGGACGCGTCTGGACGCAACTGGACGCGTCTGGACGCAACTGGACGCGTCTGGACGCGTCTGGACGCGTCTGGACGCGTCTGGACGCGTCTGGACGCGTCTGGACGCAACTGGACGCGTCTGGACGCAACTGGACGCGTCTGGACGCAACTGGACGCGTCTGGACGCAAGTGGACGCGTGTGGACGCAACTGGACGCGTCTGGACGCAACTTGACGCGTCTGGACGCAACTTGACGCGTCTGGACGCAACTGGACGCCTCTGGACGCAACTTGACGCGTCTGGACGCAACTGGACGCGTCTGGACGCAACTGGACGCGTCTGGACGCAACTGGACGCGTCTGGACGCAACTGGACGCGTCTGGACGCAACTGGACGCGTCTGGACGCAACTGGACGCGTCTGGACGCAACTGGACGCGTCTGGACGCAACTGGACGCGTCAGGACGCAACTGGACGCGTCTGGACGCAACTGGACGCGTCTGGACGCAACTGGACGCGTCTGGACGCAACTGGACGCGTCTGGACGCAACTGGACGCGTCTGGATGCGTGTGGACGCGTCTGGACGCGTTTGGACGCGTCTGGACGCAACTGGACGCGTCTGGACGCAACTGGACGCGTCTGGACGCGTCTGGACGCAACTGGACGCGTCTGGACGCAACTGGACGCGTCTGGACGCAACTGGACGCGTCTGGACGCGTCTGGACGCTGTGCCCTCAGCTCCCTACGTGCCACCATGCGTTGAAGTTTTGAGGTGCAACATTGATAGTATTATTTCTTCCCATCCCCGTCCCTGTGCCTCCCATCTCTGTCTCGCCTCAGATCGGCACCATCTGTGGCTTCAGCGCACCTTGTGTAGGATGAGCATTCTTTCAAACCGCACTGCACTGCACCGCATCTCCTTCTTCCTCCGCGCCTTTCCACCAACCCTGTCTTCATACCTCTGCCTCTCTTTCTTATCCCAGATCGGCATCTGCTGTGGCTTCAGCACTCCCTACGTGGCAGCACAAGTCAAAGTGAGTCAAACAAGTAAAAATGGGTTGTACCTGGGGCAAGGGCGGGTCACGCAAGTCACGCATGGGTAGGAACAATAAGGTGATTCAAGCAAGTCAAGGTGGGTCCAGCAAGTCAAAATAGGATTCTGTGTGGGGCAAGCGTGGGTTACAAAAGACACGCACGGGTAAAAAAGTGAAGGCAAGTCAAGGCGGCTCGAGCAAGTCAAGCGTGGGTCAAGCAAGTGGGCACTTCAAAGGGAACCCACAAGGTGGTTTTGGGTCAGGGCTACCGGAAGGAAGGGGGCATGCTGTGACTGATTTTCAGGGCGTTCTAGAAAGACCCCCTCAGGGTGAGTCCCCCTCAAGGTGTTGTTTGGAGACATGGGCATATGATGAGTCAAGTTTTCCTCGACTCATTCTGACCAAGCTTGTTTTGTGCCATGGAGGCGGGCAAAACTCGTCCATCTGTTTTTAAACTGAGGCACGGCCCGTAACTTGAACATATGGTTGGCTTGTATAAACTCGCAAATCCCCCTCCCCTCGAGCGAGTCCATCAAAACTCGACGCAAATCATCCTGCCTGTCACCCACAATCATGCCAAATTTGTGTGGATCTGGCGGGAAATGCTAGATCTTCGCAGATCTAGCCCTGAAATATTCCAAGTCGAAGTAAAACAACTTCTCAAGTTGAGGGACAGGTGATGTGATGAGAGGAGGTGGTGGGAGGAAGTGTTGGGCAGGGGGTAGGGGAAGGATGGTGGGAGGGTGATGATAAGAAGTTTTTTTTTTTAATGATTTGCAAGATTCTTTCCCTCGTACACAATGGTTAGAATTCTCAAAGAGTCTCAAGCATTCATGAAGGCTGAGAGGATTGGTTTTGGATTTTTTTTTGCGCGTATGCAGCCTTCAACGTTCAAACCATCCCTATCCACCCACCCCAACCCCTCCTTCCGCTTTGTCCGCTTCTTGCTTGACGCTACCCTCCCATCCGTCCACCCTCTCATATGCCGCTGCTCATAGCATTAGCACCTCAAACCACCCCCATCCACCCAATGGCACCTGCCCCTCCACATGCTCCCCGCGCCCGTAACCTCTTCCACATGGCACCATCCACCAGACGGCCCCCACAACAAACAACTCTTGACTTGGCCCTATCGTGGATTGTTTGAAGAGTTGTTCATCACCTGTTGTGGTCCTCGCATCCATCCCATCAGACGTCGCTGCATGCAGAATTCACCCCTTGATGCAGCTGTGGTCGTTGCGTCCCTCTCACCCCCCGGCTACCCTCTCTCCCATGCCACCACACACCGGGCGGGCAGTCTTGAAGCGGCCGTCTCATCCATCCTATCAGATGCTGCCACATTCAAGCGCAACATTTCAATCTTCAAACACTCCCTCTCCCCCCCCTCCCCCCCCACCATCTCCTCACCTCTTGCTTGCACTGCAGTGCCCTCACACTTTCCTCATCTCTTTCTATTTCAATCCATTGCCCTCACACACACCTCATCTCTTATCCTTGCATCTCCGAGCTTCATTTCTTGCAGCAAGAAATTGAAGTCTGCTGGCGTCCACGAGCCGAACAGGCTGCAACCAAGACTTTCTACAGTCAATGCAGAGTCATGCAGGGGAAATCTAGTACCAAACAACAACCGGTCCGGTTGTGTTCCTCTTCGTCTAGAAAAATATAAAAAGTGATAGGTGTGAGTTACGTAATTAATTGCCCTGCACTAGCTAAGTTCGTATGCGTTGTAGCGCTTTAATGTTTCCATGTGATGGTTAAATTAGCAGAGAAACTGATGGGGTTTGATCCAAAGTAGTATCTAGAAGTTGGTTCATTACTTTGTATAAGGGAATGTAAATCTATTTCTGTAGACTGCTTTGGCTTGCGCCGGTATATTCCGAAGAGTTTGTATAAACTGGTTCGGCCTACAAATTCGCTCCGAACCACTTCCAAATCGCTACCGGACCTTTTGTCATATCCCGAGCCTCGCCCCCGAGGTCCTCGCCTAGCTCGACTCTAAATATTTTATCCTCGTTTTAGACACTCATAGGACATCGGTTCCGTAGTTTCTAAGAGCCTCGCACCCATAACAGTTGGTTCATCGAATCAATTTTCTCGAATGAGCCTACATTGCGTTACGCCTACACTTGGCAAACAATGGCGGCTTTCTCAACTCTGTTGGAGTACACATGACCCGCGTTCAAGATGGGGCGTCAGTTTAGTGGCTCGATAGCGGTCGCGTCAAAGCGAGCGACAGGGAGACGATAGAGCGACGGACGGCGACAAAACCGCGATCGTCGACGGCGGAAAAGGACCAGTGGACGACAAAAATGGAATAGCAGAGGAGCGACGGTAGACGATGAGAGAGCGACGAGCGACGGTAGACGATGAGAGAGCGACGAGCAACGGTAGACGACGAGCGACGGTAGACGACGATAGCGATTAAAAACGACAGCAATGGCGGGCGGTGCAAGCACGGGTGCACAGGCAGGGCTGTCGAGACAGCGGCGGCGACGGCGGCGGTGACACCGGCGGAAGCAGCCGCGTCGCTGCGAGCAGCACAGATCAGAGCGGCGGCGACGGCGGTGGTGGCGTGAAGAGGAGGTAGAAGCCCGCGCCACTGCGACAGAGCGACAAGCAGGCAATGACAGAGCGCGACGTACAGTGATAAGAGAGCGACGGATTGCGCAATTGAGCGATTGTCGACGGAGATAAGCGACAAAGACCGACATGCGATGGTGGAGAGCCGTGGGAGCAGATGCGCGAGGCAAATCGGTAATGGCGCCGGGTGGGACCAACACGCGCGCGCAGGTTAAGCTCCCAGCTGCGGAAGCGGGCCGAAACAGTGGAGGCGACGGCGGCGGAAGCATGTGTCGCTGTGAGCAGCACAGACCGGAGTGGCGGCGGTAGCGCGAAGAGGGACGGGGGTAGCAGTGACGGGGGTAGCAATGACAGGGGTAGCAGTGACGTGGGTGGGTGAGCGCAGACGGGGGTAGCAGTGAAGGTTGGCCGCACGTGGGTGGATTGGAGGCGGAGCGGGGAGGGGAGGCGCAGGGAGGGGAGGAGAAAAGGGGGTTGCGGGCACGTGCTGTTTGAGTTTGGCAGACGCGAGGCGAGGAGGGGAAGGAGGCGGAATAGGGGGCGGAGCAGAAGAGCAGATTTGGGGAGAAGAGGCAGGCAGGGAAGTGGGAAAGGCGGGATAGAGGGAACGAGGGAGATCATGCGCCAGAGATGAGAAGGGGAGGTGCATCGGGGGGGTGCGTTGGTGCTCGCGGGGGAGCCAGCGGGGAAGGGCGAATGTGGGTGAATCTAGCGACGTGGGAGAGCATTGCGTGATGAGCGTTGAGCGAGAAGGAAAGGCAGACACGAAAGCGAAAGCGAGTGAGCCGCTGAATACATGGTGGTGCTGGCGAGACAGGCGCGGGGGGAGGGGGAGAATGGAAGGGGAGGTCACTGAACGGGAGGCGTTTGGGGAGGGAGGGGGAGGAGGAGGGAGAAGAAGAAGGGCACGTGACGTATGGGGCCGGTGGGAGGAAGGAGGAGGCACGGGATGGTTGGCGCATGAAAGGCATGACTGGGTACGTGCTAACACAGCACTGCGGTGGGAGAGGCGAGGGATGGGCGAGAGTGGGGAGACGGGAGAGGGGAGGGTGGGGTGAGAGGAGGGTGGGATGGAGGGAAGGGGGGGGATGTGAGGGTGATAGGAGAGCTAAGCCCACCAGGTGGTCACACTCACATCCATTCCCCAGTCTGTCTTCCCTTCCATGTCCCCCCATCCATCCTTCTATGCCCCTTCTTTTCCCACCCTGCTACGCCCACCAGGTGCTGATCGTCCCCCCTCCTCTTTCCACATACCCTCTTCCCTCTCCACGTCCCTCATCCCCTCTCAATTCCTCCCTACCCTGACCATACCCCCGCTCCCCCCTTCGTATGGGTGCATGGAAGGAGATCCCTCCTTTTCCTCTCCCCTCTTATATCAAGCCCTCTTAAGTCACTCCCCGTTCCTCTCCTGCCCCACTCCACCCTCCCGATTTTCGTCCCCTACCCTTTAGCTGTGATTCTCCTTCTTGGGAGGAGCCACGTGGCAGTGGTCACGTCAGCAGGTTTCAAGATATTCCGCTGTGCTGACATGGCGCGACCCGTCATGAGCCACCTGGGCGTGGGGCCGACAAAGTTCGTGGAGCTCATTCTCGTCGCGCCAAGACGCGCAATCCCATTCCCTTTGACCCATTCCCTCAGTCCCTTGACCCATTCCCTCAGTCCCTTGACCCATTCCCTCAGTCCCTTGACCCATTCTCTCAGTCCCTTGACCTATTCCCTCAGTCCCTTGACCCGTTCCCTCAGTTTTTTGACCGATTCCCTCTGTCCCTTAACCCATTCCCTCAGTCCCGTGACCCATTCCCTCAGTCCCTTGATCCATTCCCTCAGTCCCTTGACCCATTCCCTCAGTCCCCTGATACATTCCCTAAGTCCCCTGACCCATTCCCTCAGTCCCTTGACCCATTCCCTCAGTCCCTTGACCCATTCCCTCCGTCCCTTGACCCATGCCCTCAGTCCCTTGACCCATTCCCTCAGTCCCTTGACCCATTGCCTCAGTCCCTTGACCCATTCCTGAGACATTCCCTCAGTCCGTTGACCCATTCCCTTAGTCCCTTGACCCATTCCATCAGTCCCTTGACCCATTCCCTCAGTCCCTTGACCCATTCCCTCAGTCCCTTGACCCATTGCCTCAGTCCCTTGACCCATTCCTGAGACATTCCCTCAGTCCGTTGACCCATTCCCTTAGTCCCTTGACCCATTCCCTCAGTCCCTTGACCCATTCCCTCAGTCCCCTGACCCATTCCCTCAGTCCCTTGACCCATTCCCTCAGTCCCTTGACCCATTCCCTCAGTCCTTTGACCCATTCCCTCAGTCCCTTGACCCATTGCCTCAGTCCCTTGACCCATTCCTGAGACATTCCCTCAGTCCGTTGACCCATTCCCTTAGTCCCTTGACCCATTCCATCAGTCCCTTGACCCATTCCCTCAGTCCCCTGACCCATTCCCTCAGTCCCTTGACCCATTCCCTCAGTCCCTTGACCCATTCCCTCAGTCCTTTGACCCATTCCCTCAGTCCTTTGACCCATTCCCTCAGTCCCTTGACCCATTCCCTCAGTCCCCTGACCCATTCCCTCAGTCCCCTGATACATTCCCTAAGTCCCCTGACCCATTCCCTCAGTCCCTTGACCCATTCCCTCAGTCCCTTGACCCATTCCCTCAGTCCCTTGACCCATTCCCTCAGTCCATTGACCCATTCCCTCAGTCCCTTGACCCATTCCCTCAGTCCCTTGACCCATTCCCTCTGTCCCTTGACCCATTCCCTCAGTCCCTTGACCCATTCCCTCAGTCCCTTGACCCATTCCCTCAGTCCCTTGACCCATTCTCTCAGTCCCTTGACCCATTCCCTCAGTCCCTTGACCCATTCCCTCAGTCCCTTGACCCATTCCCTCAGTCCCTTGACCCATTCTCTCAGTCCCTTGACCTATTCCCTCAGTCCCTTGACCCGTTCCCTCAGTTTTTTGACCGATTCCCTCTGTCCCTTGACCCATTCCCTCAGTCCCTTGACCCATTCCCTCAGTCCCTTGACCCATTCTCTCAGTCCCTTGACCCATTCCCTCAGTCCCTTGACCCATTCCCTCAGTCCCTTGACCCATTCCCTCAGTCCCTTGACCCATTCTCTCAGTCCCTTGACCTATTCCCTCAGTCCCTTGACCCGTTCCCTCAGTTTTTTGACCGATTCCCTCTGTCCCTTAACCCATTCCCTCAGTCCCGTGACCCATTCCCTCAGTCCCTTGATCCATTCCCTCAGTCCCTTGACCCATTCCCTCAATCCCTTGACCCATTCCCTCAGTCCCTTGACCCATTCCCTCAGTCCCTTGACCCATTCCCTCAGTCCCTTGACCCATTCCCTCAGTCCCTTGACCCATTCCCTCAGTCCCTTGACCCATTCCCTCAGTCCCTTGACCCATTCCCTCAATCCCTTGACCCATTCCCTCAGTCCTTTGACCCATTCCCTCAGTCCCTTGACCCATTGCCTCAGTCCCTTGACCCATTTGCTCAGTCCCTTGACCCATTCCCTGAGTCCCTTGACCCATTCCCTCAGTCCCTTGACCCATTCCCTCAGTCCCTTGATCCAATCCCTCAGTCCCTTGACCCATTCCCTCAATCCCTTGACCCATTCCCTCAGTCCCTTGACCCATTCCCTTAGTCCCTTGACCCATTCCCTGAGTCCCTTGACCCATTACCTCAGTCCCTTGACCCATTCCCACAGTCCCTTGACCCATTCCCTCAGTCCCCTGACCCATTCCCTCAGTCCCCTGATACATTCCCTAAGTCCCCTGACCCATTCCCTCAGTCCCTTGACCCATTCCCTCAGTCCCTTGACCCATTCCCTCAGTCCCTTGACCCATTCCCTCAGTCCCTTGACCCATTCCCTCAGTCCCTTGACCCATTCCCTCAGTCCCTTGACCCATTCCCTCTGTCCCTTGACCCATTCCCTCAGTCCCTTGACCCATTCCCTCAGTCCCTTGACCCATTCCCTCAGTCCCTTGACCCATTCTCTCAGTCCCTTGACCCATTCCCTCAGTCCCTTGACCCATTCCCTCAGTCCCTTGACCCACTCCCTGAGTCCCTTGACCTATTCCCTCAGTCCCTTGACCCGTTCCCTCAGTTTTTGACCGATTCCCTCTGTCCCTTGACCCATTCCCTCAGTCCCTTGACCCATTCCCTCAGTCCCTTGACCCATTCCCTTAGTCCCTTGACCCATTCCCTCAGTCCCTTGACCCATTCCCTCAGTCCCCTGACCCATTCCCTCAGTCCCTTGACCCATTGCCTCAGTCCCTTGACCCATTCCTGAGACATTCCCTCAGTCCGTTGACCCATTCCCTTAGTCCCTTGACCCATTCCCTCAGTCCCTTGACCCATTCCCTCTGTCCCTTGACCCATTCCCTCAGTCCCTTGACCCATTCCCTCAGTCCCTTGACCCATTCCCTCTGTCCCTTGACCCATTCTCTCAGTCCCTTGACCCATTCCCTCAGTCCCTTGACCCATTCCCTCAGTCCCTTGACCCACTCCCTGAGTCCCTTGACCTATTCCCTCAGTCCCTTGACCCGTTCCCTCAGTTTTTTGACCGATTCCCTCTGTCCCTTGACCCATTCCCTCAGTCCCTTGACCCATTCCCTCAGTCCCTTCACCCATTCCCTCAGTCCCTTGACCCATTCCCTCAGTCCCTTGACCCATTCCCTCAGTCCCTTGACCCATTCCCTCAGTCCCTTGACCCATTGCCTCAGTCCCTTGACCCATTCCTGAGACATTCCCTCAGTCCGTTGACCCATTCCCTTAGTCCCTTGACCCATTCCCTCAGTCCCTTGACCCATTCCCTCAGTCCCCTGACCCATTCCCTCAGTCCCTTGACCCATTCCCTCAGTCCCTTGACCCATTGCCTCAGTCCCTTGACCCATTCCTGAGACATTCCCTCAGTCCGTTGACCCATTCCCTTAGTCCCTTGACCCATTCCCTCAGTCCCTTGACCCATTCCCTCAGTCCCTTGACCCATTCCCTCAGTCCCTTGACCCATTCCCTCAGTCCCTTGACCCATTCCCTCAGTCCCTTGACCCATTCCCTGAGTCCCTTGACCCATTCCCTCAGTCCCTTGACCCATTCCCTCACTCCCTTGACCCATTCCCTCAGTCCCTTGACCCATTCCCTGAGTCCCTTGACCCATTCCCTCAGTCCCTTGACCCATTCCCTCAGTTCCTTGACCCATTCCCTCAGTCCCTTGACCCGTTCCCTCAGTCCCTTGACCCATTCCCTCAGTCCCTTGACCCATTCCCTCAGGCCCTTGACCCATTCCCTCAGTCCCTTGACCCATTCCCTCAGTCCCTTGACCCATTCCCTTAGTCCCCTGACCCATTCCCTCAGTCCCCTGAGACATTCCCTCAGTCCCTTGACCCATTCCCTCAGTCCCTTGACCCATTCCCTCACTCCCTTGACCCATTCCCTCAGTCCCTTGACCCATTCCCTGAGTCCCTTGACCCATTCCCTCAGTCCCTTGACCCATTCCCTCAGTCCCTTGACCCATTCCCTCAGTTCCTTGACCCATTCCCTCAGTCCCTTGACCCATTCCCTGAGTCCCTTGACCCATTCCCTCAGGCCCTTGACCCATTCCCTCAGTCCCTTGACCCATTCCCTCAGTCCCTTGACCCATTCCCTCAGTCCCCTGACCCATTCCCTCAGTCCCCTGAGACATTCCCTCAGTCCCTTGACCCATTCCCTCAGTCCCTGAGACATTCCCTCAGTCCCTTGACCCATTCCCTCAGTCCCTTGACCCATTCCCTGAGTCCCTTGACCCATTCCCTCAGTCCCTTGACCTATTCCCTCAGTCCCTTGACCCATTCCCTCAGTCCCTTGACCCATTCCCTCAGTCCCTTGACCCATTCCCTCAGTCCCTTGACCCATTCCCTCAGTCCCTTGACTTTACCCATTCCCTCAGTCCCTTGACCCATTCCCTCACTCCCTTGACCCATTCCCTCAGTCCCTTGACCCATTCCCTCAGTCCCTTGACCCATTCCGTCAGTCCCTTGACCCATTCCCTCAGTCCCTTGACCCATTCCCTAAATCGCTTGACCCATTCCCTCAGTCCCTTGTCCCATTCCCTCAGTCCCTTGACCCATTCCCTCAGTCCCTTGACCCATTCCCTCAGTCCCTTGACCCATTCCCTCAGTCCCTTGACCCATTCCCTCAGTCCCCTGACCCATTCCCTCAGTCCCCTGACCTATTCCCTCAGTCCCCTGACCCATTTCCTCAGTCCCCTGAGACATTCCCTCAGTCCCTTGACCCATTCCCTGAGTCCCTTGACCCATTCCCTGAGTCCCTTGACCCATTCCCTGAGTCCCTTGACCTATTCCCTCAGTCCCTTGACCCATTCCCTCAGTCCCTTGACCCATTCCCTCAGTCCCTTGACCCATTCCCTTAGTCCCTTGACCCATTCCCTTAGTCCCTTGACCCATTCCCTTAGTCCCTTGACCCATTCCCTTAGTCCCTTGACCCATTCGGTCTGTCCCTTGACCCCTTCCCTCAGTCCCTTGACCCATTCCCTCAGTCCCTTGACCCATTCCCTCAGCCCCTTGACCCATTCCCTCAGTCCCTTGACCCATTCCCTCTGCCCCTTGACCCATTCCCTCTGTCCCTTGACCCATTCCCTCAGTCCCTTGACCCATTCCCTCAGTCCCAGACCCATTCCCTCAGTCCCTTGACCCATTCCCGCAACTGGACGCGTCTGGATGCAACTGGACGCGTCTGGACGCAACTGGACGCGTCTGGACGCAACTGGACGCGTCTGGACGCAACTGGACGCGTCTGGACGCAACTGGACGCGTCTGGACGCAACTGGACGCGTATGGACGCAACTGGACGCGTCTGGACGCAGCTGGACGCGTCTGGACGCAACTGGACGCGTCTGGACGCAACTGGACGCGTCTGGACGCAGCTGGACGCGTCTGGACGCAGCTGGACGCGTCTGGACGCAACTGGACGCGTCTGGACGCAACTGGACGCGTCTGGACGCAACTGGACGCGTCTGGACGCAACTGGACGCGTCTGGACGCAACTGGACGCGTCTGGACGCAACTGGACGCGTCTGGACGCAACTGGACGCGTCTGGACGCAACTGGACGCGTCTGGACGCGTCTGGACGCGTCTGGACGCGTCTGGACGCGTCTGGACGGGTCTGGACGCAACTGGACGCGTCTGGACGCAACTGGACGCGTCTGGACGCAACTGGACGCGTCTGGACGCAAGTGGACGCGTGTGGACGCAACTGGACGCGTCTGGACGCAACTTGACGCGTCTGGACGCAACTTGACGCGTCTGGACGCAACTGGACGCCTCTGGACGCAACTTGACGTGTCTGGACGCAACTGGACGCGTCTGGACGCAACTGGACGCGTCTGGACGCAACTGGACGCGTCTGGACGCAACTGGACGCGTCTGGACGCAACTGGACGCGTCTGGACGCAACTGGACGCGTCTGGACGCAACTGGACGCGTCTGGACGCAACTGGACGCGTCAGGACGCAACTGGACGCGTCTGGACGCAACTGGACGCGTCTGGACGCAACTGGACGCGTCTGGACGCAACTGGACGCGTCTGGACGCAACTGGACGCGTCTGGATGCGTGTGGACGCGTCTGGACGCGTCTGGACGCGTCTGGACGCAACTGGACGCGTCTGGACGCAACTGGACGCGTCTGGACGCGTCTGGACGCAACTGGACGCGTCTGGACGCAACTGGACGCGTCTGGACGCAACTGGACGCGTCTGGACGCGTCTGGACGCTGTGCCCTCAGCTCCCTACGTGCCACCATGCGTTGAAGTTTTGAGGTGCAACATTGATAGTATTATTTCTTCCCATCCCCGTCCCTGTGCCTCCCATCTCTGTCTCGCCTCAGATCGGCACCATCTGTGGCTTCAGCGCACCTTGTGTAGGATGAGCATTCTTTCAAACCGCACTGCACTGCACCGCATCTCCTTCTTCCTCCGCGCCTTTCCACCAACCCTGTCTTCATACCTCTGCCTCTCTTTCTTATCCCAGATCGGCATCTGCTGTGGCTTCAGCACTCCCTACGTGGCAGCACAAGTCAAAGTGAGTCAAACAAGTAAAAATGGGTTGTACCTGGGGCAAGGGCGGGTCACGCAAGTCACGCATGGGTAGGAACAATAAGGTGATTCAAGCAAGTCAAGGTGGGTCCAGCAAGTCAAAATAGGATTCTGTGTGGGGCAAGCGTGGGTTACAAAAGACACGCACGGGTAAAAAAGTGAAGGCAAGTCAAGGCGGCTCGAGCAAGTCAAGCGTGGGTCAAGCAAGTGGGCACTTCAAAGGGAACCCACAAGGTGGTTTTGGGTCAGGGCTACCGGAAGGAAGGGGGCATGCTGTGACTGATTTTCAGGGCGTTCTAGAAAGACCCCCTCAGGGTGAGTCCCCCTCAAGGTGTTGTTTGGAGACATGGGCATATGATGAGTCAAGTTTTCCTCGACTCATTCTGACCAAGCTTGTTTTGTGCCATGGAGGCGGGCAAAACTCGTCCATCTGTTTTTAAACTGAGGCACGGCCCGTAACTTGAACATATGGTTGGCTTGTATAAACTCGCAAATCCCCCTCCCCTCGAGCGAGTCCATCAAAACTCGACGCAAATCATCCTGCCTGTCACCCACAATCATGCCAAATTTGTGTGGATCTGGCGGGAAATGCTAGATCTTCGCAGATCTAGCCCTGAAATATTCCAAGTCGAAGTAAAACAACTTCTCAAGTTGAGGGACAGGTGATGTGATGAGAGGAGGTGGTGGGAGGAAGTGTTGGGCAGGGGGTAGGGGAAGGATGGTGGGAGGGTGATGATAAGAAGTTTTTTTTTTTAATGATTTGCAAGATTCTTTCCCTCGTACACAATGGTTAGAATTCTCAAAGAGTCTCAAGCATTCATGAAGGCTGAGAGGATTGGTTTTGGATTTTTTTTGCGCGTATGCAGCCTTCAACGTTCAAACCATCCCTATCCACCCACCCCAACCCCTCCTTCCGCTTTGTCCGCTTCTTGCTTGACGCTACCCTCCCATCCGTCCACCCTCTCATATGCCGCTGCTCATAGCATTAGCACCTCAAACCACCCCCATCCACCCAATGGCACCTGCCCCTCCACATGCTCCCCGCGCCCGTAACCTCTTCCACATGGCACCATCCACCAGACGGCCCCCACAACAAACAACTCTTGACTTGGCCCTATCGTGGATTGTTTGAAGAGTTGTTCATCACCTGTTGTGGTCCTCGCATCCATCCCATCAGACGTCGCTGCATGCAGAATTCACCCCTTGATGCAGCTGTGGTCGTTGCGTCCCTCTCACCCCCCGGCTACCCTCTCTCCCATGCCACCACACACCGGGCGGGCAGTCTTGAAGCGGCCGTCTCATCCATCCTATCAGATGCTGCCACATTCAAGCGCAACATTTCAATCTTCAAACACTCCCTCTCCCCCCCCCTCCCCCCCCACCATCTCCTCACCTCTTGCTTGCACTGCAGTGCCCTCACACTTTCCTCATCTCTTTCTATTTCAATCCATTGCCCTCACACACACCTCATCTCTTATCCTTGCATCTCCGAGCTTCATTTCTTGCAGCAAGAAATTGAAGTCTGCTGGCGTCCACGAGCCGAACAGGCTGCAACCAAGACTTTCTACAGTCAATGCAGAGTCATGCAGGGGAAATCTAGTACCAAACAACAACCGGTCCGGTTGTGTTCCTCTTCGTCTAGAAAAATATAAAAAGTGATAGGTGTGAGTTACGTAATTAATTGCCCTGCACTAGCTAAGTTCGTATGCGTTGTAGCGCGTTAATGTTTCCATGTGATGGTTAAATTAGCAGAGAAACTGATGGGGTTTGATCCAAAGTAGTATCTAGAAGTTGGTTCATTACTTTGTATAAGGGAATGTAAATCTATTTCTGTAGACTGCTTTGGCTTGCGCCGGTATATTCCGAAGAGTTTGTATAAACTGGTTCGGCCTACAAATTCGCTCCGAACCACTTCCAAATCGCTACCGGACCTTTTGTCATATCCCGAGCCTCGCCCCCGAGGTCCTCGCCTAGCTCGACTCTAAATATTTTATCCTCGTTTTAGACACTCATAGGACATCGGTTCCGTAGTTTCTAAGAGCCTCGCACCCATAACAGTTGGTTCATCGAATCAATTTTCTCGAATGAGCCTACATTGCGTTACGCCTACACTTGGCAAACAATGGCGGCTTTCTCAACTCTGTTGGAGTACACATGACCCGCGTTCAAGATGGGGCGTCAGTTTAGTGGCTCGATAGCGGTCGCGTCAAAGCGAGCGACAGGGAGACGATAGAGCGACGGACGGCGACAAAACCGCGATCGTCGACGGCGGAAAAGGACCAGTGGACGACAAAAATGGAATAGCAGAGGAGCGACGGTAGACGATGAGAGAGCGACGAGCGACGGTAGACGATGAGAGAGCGACGAGCAACGGTAGACGACGAGCGACGGTAGACGACGATAGCGATTAAAAACGACAGCAATGGCGGGCGGTGCAAGCACGGGTGCACAGGCAGGGCTGTCGAGACAGCGGCGGCGACGGCGGCGGTGACACCGGCGGAAGCAGCCGCGTCGCTGCGAGCAGCACAGATCAGAGCGGCGGCGACGGCGGTGGTGGCGTGAAGAGGAGGTAGAAGCCCGCGCCACTGCGACAGAGCGACAAGCAGGCAATGACAGAGCGCGACGTACAGTGATAAGAGAGCGACGGATTGCGCAATTGAGCGATTGTCGACGGAGATAAGCGACAAAGACCGACATGCGATGGTGGAGAGCCGTGGGAGCAGATGCGCGAGGCAAATCGGTAATGGCGCCGGGTGGGACCAACACGCGCGCGCAGGTTAAGCTCCCAGCTGCGGAAGCGGGCCGAAACAGTGGAGGCGACGGCGGCGGAAGCATGTGTCGCTGTGAGCAGCACAGACCGGAGTGGCGGCGGTAGCGCGAAGAGGGACGGGGGTAGCAGTGACGGGGGTAGCAATGACAGGGGTAGCAGTGACGTGGGTGGGTGAGCGCAGACGGGGGTAGCAGTGAAGGTTGGCCGCACGTGGGTGGATTGGAGGCGGAGCGGGGAGGGGAGGCGCAGGGAGGGGAGGAGAAAAGGGGGTTGCGGGCACGTGCTGTTTGAGTTTGGCAGACGCGAGGCGAGGAGGGGAAGGAGGCGGAATAGGGGGCGGAGCAGAAGAGCAGATTTGGGGAGAAGAGGCAGGCAGGGAAGTGGGAAAGGCGGGATAGAGGGAACGAGGGAGATCATGCGCCAGAGATGAGAAGGGGAGGTGCATCGGGGGGGTGCGTTGGTGCTCGCGGGGGAGCCAGCGGGGAAGGGCGAATGTGGGTGAATCTAGCGACGTGGGAGAGCATTGCGTGATGAGCGTTGAGCGAGAA